TTGAGATACTTCTGGTGGTTTTTTCTGTCACAGTATTTCCATTCTCAGTGACTGTGAGCAATCTGATTAGCTTGAAAGAACAAAGCCTCAGGTCCCTGGATGTGCTTGTGAGTGCTCTAGCAGCAGGTGTGTATGGGAGCAGCCTGGCCCAGGGCCCAGCCATGGGGAAACTGCTCTCCTTCTGTGTGGGGACATGTGCCTGTGGCTGGATTCAGTGCCAGAGCCTCCTGGGAGTGGGTAAGACAGATTCCTCCTAAAGGAAGAATCACCAAGGCAGAAATGAGAGCTGCTGATTGAATCTATGGGATCAATCCCCAAGCCCTGCACTCACCTTCAGAGCTGTGTTTGCCAAAGCAATGTACATACTCGGATTAGGCTTCTTCATCTTCTTCACTCTGAAATGCCGCTAACACAGCCACTTCAAAACACTTGAGTAAACTCCTTTAATAAGCTCTTTGTAGAGTGGGGTCTCAAAGCTGAACAGCTCTCTGACTTCTATAGGTGACAGGCAGCAATGGTCTGTTTGCATTTCAGGTCTTTATTGCTGGGGGTTTAGGCAGATTTCATAGACCTTACATTGGGTTTGTGTATGGGAGAGATACAAGTTTTCTTTAGAGTATCTTCCCTTAAAACAACAGGAGAGAAGTTGTTTTCCTGTCTGAGGTATCAGTGTGAGATGCATACTTTAGATTTTTTAATCCTTTTTTATTAGCTGTTATTAGTTGATATCTCTAAGACCATCTTTTCACATGACTACTTTTCCTGGATGGCTTTACTTTTTCCATTGTAACAAGAATAAAACCTTTTTTCTCTCAAGTAATTTTCTAGCCAGTAAGAAACTATTGAATATCTTAGTGAAAGCGTCTTTATACGTCTTCATGTGAGTAGCTTTTTTTCACTAAACTGGTGCATATCCACATACTATAAATGTAATTTGAATTCTTAAGGTTGTCAAAAATGAATAGCTTGCTTCTTCTTACTGTCTGAAATATATCTGACCAAGTGAAGTTCAGCTTTAAGCACAAATAGGTAATGAAACCAGCTATTGTGCAGGTAAGAAAATCTGTGATTAATTAAGTGGACCACATCTGGATGTGACCACAATCTAATCGTGAGGGGCTGTAAATAGCATCAAAGATTTGTGAGCGTTAGGTCTGTGGACAGCAGGAAATATTTGAAAGCCAAAGCAGGATCAAATGTTTGGGTAAAAATTATGGTTATAGCTAACCACAAATCAAGTGAGAGCCATTAGTATGTTGTTTGTTATCCTGTGGTTGAATGTAAATTCTCAGCATTGCTCCTTTGATTTGTAAAGCAAATGAGGGTTAGGCTGTGACCTTGAAGACGTGTGAGACATTGAAGTGAGACAAGCAGGCTCTGCTGCCTTTCTTGTGCTCTGCCTTGGGAGGTTTCCTGAAGCATGAGGTTTACCTCTTGCTCAAGCACAGCCATGGCTCCTCACTGCTGAACAGCCTGTTCAGTTTGTTTCCACTGAGGAACATGCACCACCAAACCCTGCCCTGGTGTCTGCACACAGGCAGTGCCTCCTGCAGGGAACTGCTTCAGTCATGGGCTGTGCTGGCATTTCCCTGCTGTGCTAGTAAAATTGCACATGCTGGCTGTTACTCTCTAGCAGTCATAACATCTTCATTGGGCTCTCATTTACTACCCTTCACAGACAGAGAAATGAAAGGAATTATGTTTATCTAATTGTAGGAGTTAAGGTCATATGTGAAGGTCAAAGATTTTAACAGTAGTCAGAGAAAAGTAGTATTATTGTGCTCAGCTTCTTCACACATTGAGGGGAGAGCCATCCAGCAAATCTCTAGGCAGACTTACTTAGACTTCAGAGGGAAAAACTCAGAAAAGCCAGTGTCCTTCCTAATGGAGAGGAGAGAGACTTAGCAAAAGCAAGAAATAAAAGTTGGGGTGAAAATAGCAGAAACTGACTGGGAGAAGAATCTGAGTCCACTAATGCAAACTGTAATTCTGAAAGATGAGGAGCCAGAGCTTTCAGATGCCAAAGCAGTGTGTGCTTCCTTGTTCCTAATCTGCTGTACTCCTGCCTGGAGGGAAAGGATTACATGAGCAGCATGGCTGTGATACCTTACTGTCAATACCTTATTGTCAGCTTTCCCACTCTGAATTTCTGTGTGGCTGTTGGATACTGAGGGAGACTCTGAAGGCCTTGTTAAGGTCAAGGCACAGAACATCCATTCCTCTCCACTCATGTGCTGAACTTGTCAGTGAATCACAAGTTCAGACACAACTTGACCATGGTACGTCCATAACGGTTGATCTCAGTCTTCTCTTTTGTTTTTTTGGGTTTTTTTTTTTGTCCTTCCTACATTTGGAAATGACTTCCATGAGGATTGGCTCTGCAGACTTCCTGAGGGCTGTTAAGGTGACCAACCTGCAACTGAGCCTCAGGTTCTCCTTGCCTTAAATGAAGATGGATGTGGCAGTTACTTTTTAGACATCACCACCAATCACCATGACCTCATCTGGTCCCAAAGTTTTGTGTTCATAAAATTTTCTCAGGTGCTTCCTAACTTGATCTTTCTCATTTTGCCAGACTCAGTGGAAGTGATTTAATTTGCACAAAAATTCATGTGAATGAAAAATAACGTACATACTTCTGTTTGACACACTTAAATCCAAAAGTCTTTAAAATTTGTTTGTAAATTTTGCATTGTGAAGACCATGGAATTGATAGAATTCTGCCCTGAATTTGATAGATTCAAATCCATAAAGAGGCCGACTTCTGTGACTTGGCAAATTTCCAGTTGATGTCAACTTTGAAGTCAGTGAGGATTTCTTTGGAGAAAAGACATGAGGATTTGAATTAAAATATTAATTTATGATTGATAAATGAAGTCCACCTGGTCACCAGACAAGGAGAACATATGATACAAGAAGAAATAGTTTGAGATTTCTTTTTAGTTTCAATTTAGTAGAACATTTTATTTCATTCCAAAGCAAAAGAAATCCTTGGGTTGACTGAAAAATTTTAAAGAATGTATTACTGGTAACAAAGCAGCAGGAGTTGTTGCTCATGTGGTGAAGGCTAATTTGAAAAGAAGTGCAATATCAACTTCATGTTTAGGTGTAGGAAATTCAGTTTTTTTATTGTTTTGCAAAGACCTACATTTTGATTTCACAAGGATTGTAAGTGCCACCTTGTGGACATCATAATTCTTGTGTCTCATTATAGGACACAGTGGTGAAGTAGAATAATAAAATTTAGTTTTGAAATCTGTGACAGATATTAGTTATGTTTTCTTTGAGGTTTGGGAGATTTTGATTGATTTTCCAATATTGCTATCGATGTGCTGAGGTGCAAGAACACACTACTGCTGGCTTCAGTGGCTGTATATAAAGCCAATACCTGTCTCACTGTGAAGTCCTACTACTTCATGATATTTGTAGTTCTTGCTGGAATTCCTTTGTTGATCACTCTTAGATCTTTCTCCTGAGTGAGCTATCAATGGAATACCATGGGAGTGAAACTCCACATGTCTGGGGTTCTGACATGCTCCTTATGTTGTGACCCCCAATGTCCTTGTGTGAAAGTGGCTGGATGCAGTGGTTCATGTGATGTCAGCAAGTAGCCTGGGTGATTTTTGGGGGTGTGTGGGTTGCAGAGGTTTCTTTGTTGGACATCCTGGCTCTGGGTAGATCAGCTGTGCTGTGTTTGTGAAGGGTTTGGGGAATGTATTGTCTCCAAAACATAGGTACAGTGATGCCTGTAAGCAAGCTCTGAGTTGGGCATTTCTACCCTTTTCACAAATAAGACCAAATTTTATTCTGAGGAATAAAGAGTTTCTAATTACATGCAGCTGATTTCCTGCTCACTAATAACTTAAAGGTATTGTCATGAGGTACATGAAATATCTGCTTCTTATCTTAAAGCTGTCTCCTAAGGATCTGGAGCTTCCTCACTAGCCAAGTCAAATTCAGCCTGTACTCCAGAAGTAAATCCCATGTGGTTTGTCTGTTTGCTGCTTAGCTGTCAGCCACTCACAAATTCCTACTTATCTCCAGGCTATACTGAGGCCATAACCAATATCAAAATTCCAGGACATCAAATCTCTTCCTTGGCTTGCTGCTTAAGTATTTTCTCTGTTGTCACAAAACAGAAGCTGATTTATCTCAGATAAGTTGTTTTTTAAACTGTAAGAAAAAATGGACAGCAGTGTTGTTTTTGCAAAAACACAGTTATATCCCTGGTCATCCAGGATTCCTTTAGCATCTCATCTTTAAAGCTGTTTTATGCATTGTACAAATCAAGATCAGTTGGATGGGGCTTGGAACAATCTGGTTTGGAGGAAGGTGTCCCTGCCTGTGGAAAAGGGACTGGAACTGGATCATCTTCAAGGTCCCCTTCCAACCCAAACCATTCTGTGATTCTAGGAAATAATTTTGTTTTAAACTATCCTGTCCAGGTGTGTGTTACTGAGTGGGTTGAAGGTTTTCTGCTCAATGAACTTGTGGGTTTCTTCTCGAGCTGTCTAGATGCAGTATAAAGATTTCTCACATACCTCTTTTGGTGAGAATAGGCTGAGTGCTCACTTTTAAAGGAGATTAAGAAAGGACTATGGAGGAAGTAGTTCTGCTTCTGTAGAAAGCCTATTTTGAATTATAAAAAAATCAAAGCTCTCCACCTCTTTCCTGAGCAGCAGTTGTGGGAACATTGTTGCTCAGCTTCTCTTTCAGCTGAGGAGTATGCAGTCAGCATGATCAATGCATTACTGCTCATGGTGTATTCTTGAATTTTGCCTGGCAGGATGTAAAAATCTATTGGCTATCTTGAAGGCACCGAGTCTGAGAGCCCTTTGGGTTTTATTGCTTTTTTCTGTACAGAAGACATTGCTGAAATGCTAATTCACAAAATCATTTCAGAATTGATTCTTCTCTGAAAGTCATGCTATTCTCAGTTGTTGTGTCCGAAGTCTGCAGTTGTAAGACCTTGGAAAAAGAAATCTTACTTTATTTTGCAGAGCATTGGCTGTGACGACTATCTGGGTTCTGACAAGGTGATTGACAAGTGTGGAATATGTGGAGGGGACAACACTGCTTGCAAAGTTGTGTCTGGAGTTTTCAAACACACGCTAACAAATCTTGGCTACCACAAGATAGTGGAAATTCCTGAAGGAGCTACTAAAATCAACATTACTGAGATGTCAAAGAGCAACAACTACCTGGGTAAGTTGCATCTCAGTGAATGAAGAATGCTTTGTGTGCTCGTGCAACTGGGTGGAGGTTGTGCCAGGAAAGGCCTTCTGAGCAGTGTGAAATCAATGTCAAGAAGAAGAGAGGAAAGAAAAGAAATCATTAAACAGGTGTTTTGATCAGAACTAACTGGCTGTTTTTAATTCTAGATTGATCTTGCATGCCAAACATTGTAGACCTGTTACAATCTATTTCCCTGTCTGTCTGACTTGGCTTTAGTTTCTCCTTTGAATCGGTTCCGCTGTGATGTTTCCCTTTCTCACATCATTAACCTTCTCTGATCAGTCAAGAATCCAGCCAAGCAGATGCTTGTGTTTATAAAAGGCTGCTTGAGGAGAAAAGAGCATCTTCTGATTGCCAAAAACTTTCATTTCTTTTAAAGTGAAATAATTTGATTTTGAGAAGGTACTTACTCACAGAATCCAAGGTCTTTGTACAGCTGTTTATTCAGAAGCAGGTCCCTAATTCGAAACCGTGGAGGATCCTGGAATATTTATAGCAACATAACATCTTAATGTATACTTCTAGATGTGTATAGTGGGTTGCAAATTAGAGATTATGTGGAATTTATACCAGATCTGTATCAGTCTTTTGTGCATTTATGGACTGTGGCATTCCCCACTGTAACCTGGTGTGTTCCCAGGTTTCAAAGCCCTTGGTTTGCCTACATTTGTGCAGGTTTTCTAGGCAATTCTGGTGAGTGGACTGGAGAGAGGAGTGTTACTTATGATTTATAAAACCTGCCCCTCACCCTCTGTTTTCTCTTCACCATCCTTAGATTGGGCATAAAAATTGCCATTGCAGATGGTAAAATTGGAGCCACCTGAGAACTTCTGTGCTGGCATGGTGTGGTGTTTGCTAGAAACTGTCTGGCTCTACTAGAAGTTCCAAATGCCAGTCCTCTTGTTGGACTGCTGTTTTACCTCCCTTCCGGTGGGTAAAGCATCTCAGCTGCTGCTCAGGTGCAAAAAAGGAGGGTGCTCATTATGGAATTGCTTTTACTCTCTTTTCTACTTTCTTCCCCTTAATTCCTGCTGAAGCTGGAATGAGTTCCACAGAAATGTTGCCTGTAGATGGGAGTTTATTATGGGGAACAGTCTGAATTGGAAAGTGAGTTTTATAATTTTACCAAAAATTTACTTCTAATTTGAAGAAATAGAATAAGCTACCCTCTGTCCAAGAAAGCCAAATGTTCTGAACCTATTGCCTGGGTGGTCTTCTCAGTTCTTACTTGTCTTGGTTTCATCCAAATGAGGTTTTGATATGTTATATACCAATATACACCAGCATTTGTTATTTCATGAGAACAGTGTGTATAGCATCCATCAACACTGACTTAATTGATGATGAACTAAACCAATAATTCTTTCTAAAGAATTTCCATGTACATTTGGTAGAAAATGGGTGAGAACATAGCTGACTTGGCAGTACAGTGGAAGTAGTGACACTACTAATATATAAAATCATGGAGTTGAATGTAATTTTGCTGTCAGATTTATGTGCCAGCATCTGAAAACAGCTGACAGAAAAACTCCCTTAACTATATTAAAATGTCCTGAGCCACTTCAACATTTTTGTAATGGGCAGGACAGAAAGAGAGTAACATTTTTGTTCAAAAATAACCAGTGTGTTGGCATGTATGGGAAAGTGATAGAGTTTTTCTTTCCCATGCTACTCTTTATCCCCTGAGCTCTTGGTTTATGCTATCATCTTTTCTTTCTTTTTTTTTCTTTTTTTGTTTTTATCCATTTCATATGTTTTATTTAAAAGTGCTGGTATGGATTTAGTCTGCTAAATTTGCCAGCTCCCTCCCATGTTAGGAATTCTTGAGGATGTAATTCCAGCCTAGAAGGATTCCAGCCACTCTGCTTACATTGTTACACAATAAATTTGGTTTATTGAGGCAGGTGAGTTACACCAGGACAAAAATGAACATGTTCAAGCAGATCAGAAAGCTGAAACTAAGAGAAAGGCTTATCAAACAATTTATTGGACAAGTGAAGTGGTAATTCTGCACTTGCTTTTTTGGTGGTCACAAATTTCTCACTGATAAAATAGCATTCAGAATTTAGACATTTTTGTAGTGCACATAACACTGGTGGATCTGGGAAACTTGAAAACTCAGATCAAGCATTTACTGGTTTCTCTATATTTATGGTAATAAGCAGAAGTCTCAAACTTTAAAAATAACAGTAAGAAATTTAAATTATCCTTATGCTGCAGCAGCAACAAGAAAATTAACCCAGCAGCCATTCTTTTAAGGATGTAGTTGAGTGCTTTGCAAAACTGAGTTTTCAATACCTTGTTCTGTCATAATCCAGTTGTAGCTATCAGAGCTGCTTGTAAACACCATTCCCTTTTTTTTCCAAGGAGCATAAGTTGGTTGCTTTTGGTTTTCCTTTCACTTTGTACATTTTAGTTCCTTCAGTGCAAAATTGGAAGCCAGCTCAAGGTCATTAAGATATTTTTTTTAGGAGATGATGGCAGGTGTTCCTAGGTATCAGTTACCCTGTTTTTCTCTGTTTGGGAGATTGCCTTGAGTTCCATGTGGTTTCATTAAGCAGGTTTACCAAGCTCCACACTTTCCTCTAAAGTACTAAGCAAGTGAGTGATCAGGAGTGTTCACAAGGAGGTATTTCTTTAAAATCAGGAGGTGCTGGAAAAAGCAGGAAAGAATATGAGTTTCAGACTCAGCTAGAAGTCATCCAAATGTTTGAAAGCTTCTCCATACTGCTTTTGTAACTATTTTGTATTAGTCTATTGCTCAATTTAGTAAAGCCCTCATAAAAAGCACAGCTCTATAGTTTCTGCTGAATATGATTCAGCTTACTGAATTTTCTCATTTTGAGAACTGCATTTTTGGCTTTTGCACACAAGCTGGAGTGATTCCAGAATAAAATGTTTAAGTTCTTGCCACTGGAAAACAATAAACTTCTGTTAAAAAGAGAAAGCATGGCAGTGGTATATAAAGCTTTAAAGTGTTTCTAGAATTTTATCTGGGTAGTCAGAATATGCAGATTAAAGGAGATGGACTAATTGGTTGTTCAGGGTACTTTGTAATTAACTTTTCATAAAATCCCAGTTTGGAATGAATTGAATTTCATGCAGCACAAATGGAGTATTTTCTTCTCCCCCTGCCCAAGTATTCCAATTCCTTTTAGGCTTTCCATTTCTTGTGGAACTTTACTGTAGGAAGAGCGTCGATGTGATAAAGGAAAATATTTTAGCAGTCAAGTTGAGAATGGGCTGCAACATTAACTAATGTGTCTTAGTGAGCCAAAACAGACTGACTCTAATAGAGCCATGAGGTGTATCTGAAATTCCCCAGGAAACATATCATGCTGGTTTTCTAGTGTGTGTTTGTTGGGAAAGAAAGCAGTCCAGTTTTGGAGTGCTGTATAACAGCTATTCATAACTATTAATGATGTATTCATCAGGCTGTATATTTACTCTGGTATTTTTTTACAGTTGAGAGAAAAAGCTATGTATTACCAGCTCTGTAAAGTGTAGAGAAGCCTATGAGCTGCACAGCCCTGAGCTGTGTCAGAATGACTTTTTTCAAAGTTGTTTTCAGCAGTATTTTCTTACTGGCTCACGTGTAACAGAACTGCTGACCTTGGCCAGACCTTTCCATTGGCAAAGCACTTGTGTCACATGCTAGAGACAAAGGCATACTTTTTATCCCACTGGTAATCATCATCTGGACAGTTCTCATACACTGACATGGGAAACTTGCCACTGAATTAAGTAGGACCATGATACCTTCAGTGGGACCAGCACGTTACAGCACTTGTGCTGCAAAACATGTGGGTTGGAGTATAAATGCTTCTGCCTCTTTGGGATTGGGATTTGAGATAATAGCAGAATTTAAAGCCAGATAACACAGATCTGAAGTGATTATTTGGAATGTGCTTTTTTTGCATAATGTGTCTTGAGAACCTAATTGAAAGATGCTGGTTGCTATCCATATCACAGCCTCAACTGCAAGGCACTCTCTTGGGAAGGAGGTGTCAGCAGTTCAAATTAAAATTTAGCTTAATGCAGAATTGAACAACACAGTGCTTGAAAATGTGTTAGTTTTGAAGTACACTGCATAATGAAGTTTAATGGAGATAATCTGGTAATGTCTGTACTCAAGGAACAGTTTGTTTCTGGGGCAGTTGTCTGAGTGGAGTCCTGTGGGTTTGGTGTTGAGTGCAGGAGAAGGTAGCAGACACTGCCTGCCATTGCAGGGCTCTGAGGGTCTGTCCAAGGGAAGGTGGATCATTCCCTGTGTCTCCTAACATTTTCCTTCTTACCTGAATGCTATTTTCTACAAAGATGTTTGTTTCACAGTGAAATTATTTAACTGCTAATTGTAAAGCTCATTACAGTTCCTTCAGGGAATGTATTGTGTATTTCAGTTTTGTTTTTCATGGAGTTAAGTCACTTCAGCCACTAAATGAGATAGAGACATCTTTGCATCTAATCCATTTTCCTGCTTTCTGTAAAATGATACTCTGCTGTTTCTAGCATCTTCTATTAGCACCTGCCAGTATACACAATTAATGATTAAAATAAAAGTTGCAGATTAATATTTCTTTAAACAAGGGTCCAAGGGATGTTAATAGCACTATTGTGAATATTGGTGTGCCTGAACAGGAATATGATTTTAAGGAATTCGTTGTATGAAAACAACAGGGCTTGATACTAATGGGGCTCTGAAAAGAAATGGGGCTCTGAAAACCATTTTTATTCAGTATTCCCTGTAGCAGATAAAAGTCAAACAATACATCTCCTGATGAAAGATTGTTAGCAACTCTTGAAGATTGTTAGCAACTCTTGAACTTAAAATAACATTTTGAAAATCACTTTAGAGATTCGAAATTGCACCAAATAAAGGCGTTAGATTAGAACACTGGCAGGAATTTAGAAGATAAACATTGATCACAGCTGTGATCATGTGAAGAGCTTTATAATATATATAGTCACTG